TAAGGTCAATTAACAATACTGTTAGAGTGGACACCCTTTTAACCTGCTTGTTCCTTATATACTGGAAGGTGAGAAGGTAGGGGCAGCTGTTCAGTGAAGTAATAAGGATCAGTGTAAGTAGTGATGCTTTACTGATCTTGCTAATGAGGGGAAAAAAAAAAGCCGTATTCTCCTTGCCAAATGTGGTGGCATCAAGCTAAAATGTGGTTGTATTAAGCTAAAACCTTTTTGTCCAATATTTTCTAGGGACTTTAATGCAGGCTCGGTTTTTGCTAGAATTTGGTGCAAATGATCTTGTTTATATCTACAAATTGCAAGTGTGAAATCAGCTATTTAAGGGCTTTTAAACTTCTAATGGTCTGTATTTCTAGGGAAGAACCTTGCATGACCCCTCTGCACATGCAATCTTGCTCCAGTATGGTCTTCTATCAGGCAAGCTTTATTAATGACTGCTTGCACACTTGAACTGGGCATTGCAAAACAGCTCTGGTCCATGTGAAATGGAAAAATGCCACTTGCCTTGGTATAAGTCTTACCCTTTTGCGGGTAATTGATCCAGCTACTGTGATTAAACTAGAAGGCCATTAAAGCGTAGTTGCAATAATCACCCTCTTCTCTTTAGGGAAGAGAACATGTTAAATGAATGAACTTGATCAACCTCAAACCTAGACGGTCCACAGCTCTTATTGGCAATAGTATCAAGGAATAAATCAAGATTGGCTGAGATCCTGCATAAGTTGAATGGTCTTATTTTATTTTTATAACAGAACAGACTAGATTTTTTTAGTCAGGCTTGCCTGTAAGGAGTGCACAGACTGCAAATGTGGGAAGGAAAACAACGTAACCTTGATCTCTACCTCCTTCTAAAATTACAGGTGTCCTCTCAAAAGTAAGTTTACTTTCCCCTCCATTTTCAGAGAGCTTCTTAAGGATGTCCTTGTCCTTCCGAGATTCAGTCCTGTTCTGAAATTTTTTTTGCATAAGTACTTAAGATGTCCATCTCAATTTCAGAAGGGGGGTGGCATAGTATTGATGGTGTCCTGATCACTTTGCAAGTCGGATAATAGCAATTCTTTTTTTTTTTTTAGTCCATTCATTTGACCAGTGTCTTGGCACCAGGTTCTCACTGGTGGCTTTTCAATACACTGCCGAACAAATGAGAGTCTAATCTCAGGAGTTCTGGGAATCAATTTAACATGGCTTTTGTTTGAAGTGAAAGGGCGCTATACCTCTGGCTTAAATATGAGTGCTGTAAGGTCAACAGAGCTTCTGGAAATGCCCTGTAAAAGTAGCGGCGTGATATACCTTCGAGTACAATATGGAATTTTATTTCCTTTTATATGTCCTCTTAATCAGGGTGACACTCAGTCGAATTGAGAGACTATTAAAAGGGAACTGTCATGTTATCCAGCCACTTATACACGTTGGCAGCTTTAAAATTAATAATGCCTACTCAAGAAAAAGACCTGGGCTTTACTGAGTGAACTCAGCTTAGCACTCCATTGTCAAAATAAAATCCCTAGCTGTAAAAAAAAAAAAAAAAGAAAAGTTGGAAGGGCCTACAGTATGCTCTAATCTTCTGTTTGTATCCCTACTCTTTAAGTATGATGTCGAGGTTTTTCAGCACAAGGTCATCTTGTGGTGGTTGTACCATCTATTAGAAGAGTGATGAAGCTTGTACATGCCTGGTGCTTCCAAATGACACTGTAACGCAACCAAAACTGATTGTGTTGTCTTTGAGAACCTCACTTAGATTATTGCAAATGATGATGCAGAATTAGTGATCTAGAAGCAAGTGACTTAACACTAAGTTTTGTGTGGAGAGGGGGAAAAAGAACGGGCAAATAAGAACCTTTTGTTTAGACAAATGTATAATGAATTAGGTAGAAACACAGCTTGAGCCCCTCTGTCATTTCATCTCAAATATGAGAACGGGGGATATTTCTTTTTCATTTCACTGATTTTTTTTTTTTTATTTTATTATGGTATCAGAATCCTTTGATTCTTAATACAAAATCTCTTCCTAGTATGAAGGACTCACTGAAGAGAAATGAGCAACTCGGGAAGAAATCAGTCTGAACAAAGTCTGCAGTTAAAGGACATACTGGTCTCTATCACTTAAATTATTTTAGCTTCCTTTTTCTAGTTAGGAAGCCTTCCTCCATGGATAGATGGTCCTTGACTGTTCACCTTAGGGTTGTAAGCACCTTCCTCAAACACTGGTTGCTAACTGCATCAGTTTTCTGAATCAGCTAGACCATGATTCTGATGACACATGACATACTGTTTGCCTCATTTCCTTGTGCCTAAGGCTCTCCATAGTGTCACTGTTACCCTGTCTGTGTTGTCTTGTCTCTTTCCAAGTGATACTCTTACCGCGGACTAGTTGTGCTGTTGATGGTAAGAATGCCATGAAGTATGTTGAAGCCTGAAGCACCGCCTCTTCTGAGCTTGAGGATTCAAATCACTTTCTTTCCTCTTTTGCTACCTGCACGTAGACAAAGTGTTAGATGAGACTGCTTGAAATGTCCCTGAGCACACTGGTTCCAAAAAGCATTTGTTGTTATCTATCAAATATGACAAGACCCATGAGTCAGAGCAAGTTCTGCTTCTACATCTTGCATGAAAAATATGTTTGGGAATTGAAAATGTACAATTTTTCCATCACCAAAAAACAGTCTGTTGTTCCACAAAGTTGTGCATTTGTAGGCCTAACAGTGTTGCCTCTTAGCTTATTTATGTTAAACACCTAGGCACTGAGAACTTATGTTCTTCTATGTTCTTTATGGCTTTTTATCCTACCTGGAATACATAGCCTTTGTGCCACGTATCTGTTAAGACACAGATCTGTTCTGATTCTAGCTGGTTAAGAAAAATTAAAATTAATGAGAATGCTGATCATGCAGACACTAGCTAGACAAATGGTCTGTTTGCATATTTCCAGTTTTTCAAGGAAACAAATGTTTATCTTGTGGTTCTTAGATACACTGAAAATAGGACACATGTAGATGAGTCTCTCTTCTTTCTTTCTCGGAGGATTGTCATTATGTGTGACAGGGAACTTTGAGGCCTCCAAATTCCTTGGAGGACTTGGCAGCGTAAAATGGACAGACATATGTATGCAAAACAGACATAACCTATTTTGCATTTTCTGCTAAAATAGACGTTCCACTAACATTAGTTACTTTCATGACTTTTTTTTTGAGGGAAGTAACAGTACAAAAAGACATCAGTCTCTTGTATTCATTCAGTCTTTCATTACTTTCATATCATATTTGCTTCATTTACTGATGCTGGCACTGGGATGCTCAATTTGTGATGTCCTCATTGTATAAAAACCTCAGGTCTGTAGTGAAAATCCTTGAAATTGAGCTTTTGATAGTAGATTGAAGTAAAACATGCTCTTAATGAATGGATGGGTTTGTTCTTAAGACTAGATGAGACAGTTTTTCCTTTATTGTAAGTGGCATCCACTAACATCTGTATTTTCTTGGAAGGAAAGCATAGCCTTGTAAATTGGAGGCAAATTGACACAGAAGTCTTGTTGAGTTGTGATGATAAAAAAAATAAATATTGAAATAACTTTTAGATTTATTTTTGAGTTATGAGTACTTTCAAAATAAGTTCTTAGTATTCATTGCTGTTATCAATAATGAATACGCAGGTTGCTTTTCTGGAGAGTACATGACTAGGTTGCCCTTCTAGTTTTGTACAAGTTCATGTTAATTTTTCTTGAAAGAATGAACAAGTGCAAATAATCAACCCAGTACTTGTACATGGAGGGAGATATACATTGTCATAGTATTCAGCCAGTTTGTGGTTTTCTGTATAGGTTTATCTTTTTTGATGTAAGTACATTGGAGGACTTCTAGTAACTAAAATATGAATTCCCATTGCATTTTATGAGTTTGTATGAAATGGTGGTAAATTGCTAACAGTTGGCTTTCAAGATATCTCTAGATTAGATATTCCTATCTTTCAGCTGCCATGGTATCCAAGTACCTTTTTTCAGTGATATTTCATAGTCTTGTGCTTTCTTCCTTTTTAGGATCAACCCCCCACATTTTACTTCTGACTTTGTTTAGTTTGTTTTTTTAAATACCGTGGGTTTCACATTTACACAGTAGAAATAAGTTGCCTGAGTAAGAAACACTGTGCAAGGAGTGAGGTACTACTTTAAAAGTTACAACCTTGACAACACTGTAAATCCTCATGGAACAGTTTTCAAAATCAGCTTTGCAAACTTTCGCGTGTAATTTTTATTAACGAGTGCAATGTATGTGCAGGCAAAATGTTCCATCCTTGAATGGGTGACCACAGCAATTTCTCTTTCCAAAGTGAGGTCAGGTAGTACGTTTAACTGATGTTAGCGATACATTAGCATCAGCGCATTCTGTATTGGAAAAAATAACTAGCCTTAAAACAAGGTAAAAACACGTTGACTCTAAAAGACAATCTCATTATGCAGCAGTGGTAACAAAAATGAATGCCGCTGTTAAACCCTAGCATAAATCTCCAGTTTGTGCTGATCTTGGAGACCTTGAAATCCCATCTGATTTGTTATTTGAGGCCATAGCTGTTTGGAAGCAGCTTTGTGCTTGCTTTGTAATTGCTCTTTATGAGGCAATTGCTTCCATTTCGTAACTGCGGAGTTGGTTCTACATGCTGGCTTTAAGCTTCCGAATGATCAGCAATTTGACATTTGACATTAAGTGGTTGACCTTAGTGGGTAAGAGGAAAAGCTAATAATTCCTAGTGTTTACAGCGCTGATTTTAGTGTGATATTGCTTCTCTCCATCTAACTTGCATCTTCAACCGCTGTTGTAAATTTTTTCAAGTTTAAAAGCAAATTGCTAAAGCACACAAGCTTTGATGCTATGTTTTGCATTGTGGGTAATACTTTTATTTTAGTGCAACTCCTTAATCCCTAAAATGACATGCAAGCCTCTGTTAAAACATGGGACCTCTAATCTTTGCCTGCCTTATTGTGGTTTTTGTAGGGGTACAAGCCTGTCTACAAACCACAGTACGAGAACAAGAAGAGAAGTATGAAATCCAAGGTGGCCCACAAAGAGGCCGGCTCAACAGAGAACAGCTGGTGGGTTTTATTGCTTGAGACAGATTATCTTAATGACCTCTGGTTCATGCATTTTTGCCCTTTGCCACGTGTGCAGGTGCAGTAGATGTAAAATTTTAATGCGGTCTTGTACAGAAATTTGATTATGTGCAAGGTGATTGAAAGAACTGCGAACACCCATAAAGCCATCATTTTTCTCTATTAATGGATATGTTGCTATAACCTTGTCAGAGGGAATGCTATGTTACATTCGTGGAAGAAGCTGTATGGGACAGGAATTGATGCTGCTTTGGCCTTCTCTGCTCAGCTTTAGAACCTAGTTGAAATTATCTGAAAGTTGAAAGAAAAATGTTTTTATTACTTCTTGTTTCCATATAGGGCCACTTTTCTATTTAACTGGGTTAATTTCTGGTTACTTTCTGGATTACACTGGAGAAGTTCATTAAATGTATTGTAACAGTAGCTGTAAATATTCCTAGCTCATAGTTAAACCCTGTTGTGCTGGAAAATATTTAAACATGGGCAAGAATTTACCATGTAAGCAAGCTTTTCTTGATTGCACATTTGTACTGAGGACCTTACATGTTAAGTTACTGTTCTAACTTCCAGTGTTGGTTATTTTAAATTGTATGTTTTTGTAGGCACTGATTGTTCCTTTACACTTTTTTCCTGTGTGCTCAGTTGTGAAGTCCTGTATTTATACTTTTTTTTTTTCCTCCACTTAGCTGCCTAAGTTGTTTGATGGATGCTACTTCTATTTTTTGGGATCTTTCAACCGTCACCAGAAGAGTGATCTTGTAGACTTGGTCAAAGCAGCAGGAGGACAAATTCTGGTTAGGCAGCCAAAACCAGACAGTGATGTGACGCAGACAATCAACACGGTGGCATACCATGCAGAATCTACTTCTGACCAGAGATTTTGCACGCAGTATGTAATCTATGATGTGTCTTCTAAATTCAAGCCAGAGAAAATTCGTCAGGGCAAAGTCTGGATGGCCCCCTCCAGCTGGCTTATAGACTGTGTGATGTCATTTCAGCTCCTGCCTGTAAAATGAATATCGATGTCTCAGAGCAAGGTTTAAAAATGCGGTGAATCTTGAGCAGTTGGAACACACTGGTAAACACCGATCTGAAGCTATGATTTGTGTTTTGCACTTAGGAATACAGGAGAGCTTTGACCATTTAAATGAGTTACTAAGATCACTGATATGCTGGAATAAATGAACTTATAATGGAGGAGAGAAATATACTGCATTGAAAAATGTGCCTTGGGTTATTTAGTATGCTTTATTTTTGCATTTAACTTAAGCGTGATAATCACTGACATTTTTTAACTAAGATTTTGCAAAACGAAACCTTTTGCATTCTTGATTTAAACCAGCCCTTCCTAGGTGATAGAGCATGACCCCATTTCTTTTCTGTTTAATATCCATTGACAAGGATCTACTGTATGTGTCAAGATTTCCCAGCCAGGGAAGAATTTGTATTTTTTAAAAAAAGGACTCTATGCATTTGAACATAGTCATTTGCCTACATAGACATCTTTCTTGTCAAATGACATGTGATGTTTCTTACAACTTCTTACAACTGAAATTTACAGCAAATTTTTGGCATGGATAAGCCTTGTAGAAATTAGAGTAGAGCTAATGGCTTGAATTCATTTGAAAGTAGACAATTTTGAAAACACTATCTTTAAAAATCTTGGTCTAATAAAAATCTTGGTCTAAAATTCCTTATTTGTAGCAAGAGTAATGCTTTATTCACTCTGTCGTCTTTCACGCTTGTAAATGTGTAACTGGAATTTGATCTATTTTTTGAAGTTTTCTAAGTGTCAGGATCCTTATTAAATTATTAAAAGAAAACATATTTCTGTAAGTATGGATGGTTTCTATCATGGTTACTTTAATGAAACAAATTTAATCATCACAAAAGAATTATGCCTCACTTTGCACAATTATACTTAAACTTACCTGGCTACACTGGAGCAATATTTGCTTCTTTTGTATTTGTTACAATAAATTTTTAATTCGTTTCTCATAATTAATCATAAGTTATTGTCAGAATCTTACTTCCTCACCTATGCTCTTATGTAATGTCTTGCATCTTTTGTGTTTGTGAATTCATAATTTAAAAATGGTGTCTGGTAATATACAATGGGAATGATGGCTGTGGGATAAAACAAAGTTTCTTGTGTTTGCTTTTGTATTGCTTGTAATAATAAAGCTTATGGTGCCAGTAAGTTTGGAGTATCTTATTGCATGAGCTTAGCTGCAGAGTAAGTACGTAGTCTGTATGTATCTCAACAGGTAAATGGAAATGTGAGTACTTTTTCTGTGAACTTGATACAGCTGTGAAGACACATATCCACCTGCAAGAGCGGCTCTTCAGTGTAAGAGACGGCTGTTTTCTGTAACCATTGCCGTTGGAGATCCTATGCCAATTTTCAATATGCTCTATAGAACTCTTAGAGCTGTACACTTCATGTATAACAGGTATAGTTTTCAATAGCATCTACTAGACTTCAGTAGCTGGAGTATCTTGATCTATCACTTAAGCTAGACTGAATCATTGCTCTTCACTAAATGCAGTTCTCAAGTAGTTGTACATCTGTGTGAGTGAGCAAAAATGCAAGGCTTGTTAATAAACGGAACAACCCATGGGATGAATGTGTCTTGGGTTTTTGTGCAGATAAACACTGGCAGCAAATAAGGTACTGAGTCGATACTGCGTGGACTTGGTCATTTATTTTAACAATTGTAGCACATTTTAACTTGGCATTTCACAGCACATCAATATACCTAATGCGGTATTCTTTGCAAAAGTAGCAGTGAATCTCAGCAAAATTCTTCAGAGCGAAGCTTTTCTGCTCTGTACCAGGAAGAAATTTGGCCCATCATTAATCCTGTTCTATGTCCTAAAGTAGAGGCAGCAGATTTACAGATTTTTAAAAACCATTGTTCCTTGGCAGCTGAAAAGAAACTGTTAGAAAATTGCCATCAATTTTTTTTTTTAAGCCACGCTGAACTTTTCCTAAGGCCTTGTTTCCTCTGAATCAAGTCATGTTTTCAAGTAGGGTTACTATCAAATCACATTAAGAATCCTTCCATATTGTAGTGAGGGGTGATCCTTACTTACCCTTGTCATTGAAGTGCCCTCAAGATTAACTCTGGCCCATCTCCTTCAGGTCTCTTCAGGAAGTCACTTTGAGTGTGATCAACTTAACGTAGACTTAACACACTTGAGTCGCACAGAACTGCAGTAAGTAGACTTTGATGCCAAAACTGCAGCAGGTGTCAAATGCTACTGAAGCAATAGGTAAGTACACAAAAGCTAGAGGTCAGTAACACAGGCCCTGCTTAATTCGTGCTTGCTAATCATTAAAAGCAGAGAGAGACCACTTGATAAAACATGTCTAAAATAGTCTTGTAGTAAGGATAAATCAAATCCCTTAATCCATTGGATGGATTTTGGCTCATTAAAGCAAGGTTATAAAATCATGAGGCATGTGGTAAAGGGTGTGTAGGGATCATTTCTCACTGTCTCTTCTAGTTGAAGAATAAGGCTGTGTTAAAGGAAGCTAGTAGGAGGCAGACTCAAAAATAGAAGAGGTATTTCATGCAGTGTGAGCAGACTTGTGGCACTGACAGCCGCAGCCTGTTTTGGGTGCTCTATGTTCTGGCATAGTTTGAAGCAGGGAGTAGATGAGTTCATCAAGAAAATCTGTTAAAGGTTAGTAAAGAACCTTAGCTGTAATGTGAATTGATATTAGTATTCTCCTGCTAAAGTGCATATACTTAATGTGCATTGATGATCGGGGCATTTGAAGAGGTAAAAGTCTAATTCTTGCATTCTGGATTATAGATGTTTTTATTAATCTTGTATTTATGCTGTGAGTCTCAGAAAGGCTAATGCTTTTCAGGCAACTTCCCTTGAAATTTATCTGTTTTATCTCTATGAATTAGTTCAGTAGGGACACCTGGTAACACCTTCAGTAGCAATGTCTGGAGTTCGGTGACACCAGTTTAACGTCACTAATAGTTAATAGAAGATAACATTTTTAATAAATACTGTATAATCTTTTTGAATGGCTGTGGCTTGTGGTCTGTGGGAGAATATACAAAGCCTGGCCATTCTGTTTGTTTGTTTGCTTTTCTTTTGTTGTTTCGTGGGGGTGTTTGGGTATCTTTTGTGCGTGCGTGTGTGTGTGTATTGAAGTGAAAGATGCTTAAGAGTACAGAGGTTGCTGTCCTGGCTAGATCCTGGGGAATATAGTTACAGAATAGTTTATACTTCTGGCTGTTTCCACTTCTATTTGATTGCTTGTATTTAAAGATCTCATAGGTTTTTCTTATCCCTAAAACATCTCTCCTCCCCTCTGAAGTAATTAAAATTATTTTTGAGGGGAAGAGATTAATTTTCTTAAGAAAGGAATATATGGTGGGCAAGTCAGAGGAAGCCTAATTGTAGTGGGGATGCCTGGGGAAATAGTTCTCTTTGGACTTTGTTCCTCCAGCTATAAAATAAAATCTGTTCTCTGTTGCTGAACACTGAGGATTTGTTTGTTATTTGAGATATTCAGAAGTGACTTTTCTGAGGTAGAAGCGAGTGGCCCATCAAAAAAACTTATCAGAGCAATGCAGGAGAGCTAGATGTTGCATTATTTCTGCAAGTGTTTTAAGGAAACAACAGGTAAACGAGTAATACCGAACAGTGGTAGCTGCTTTTGCTCTCAAATTAGAATTGGCATGCCTGGGAGGTGCTCAGGGTCTGTTGTCACGCAGTCCTCTTCCAAATGAATAACAAGGATGTGAGGGTCCAAAGTCTTGTATCTTTCTAATAACAAAGATGTCAGCAAGCGTTTCACCCAACTGGCTTCCACGCAGCCTTTGTTAGCCTTGAACTAAAGCCCCTCTCTTCTGCTCTATTACAAGCGTCTGAGCTGAGGTTGGACCTGACCAGCTGTGCGGGACCAGTCACAAAGTTATCAGTGATCAGCCTGGGCAAGGCTCACAGAAGGAGCAAGAGCAATTGAAGACATAATTCAAGGAAAGGAATAATGCTAGGCAGGGAATTGAAGCTGGTTGTATTCCCTGACTAGGTCCAGTGTCTTAATTCAAGACCAAGCTTAATCTGGAGCAGTTATTTTATGCTGCAGTCTTCCAGCAGATCAGCACTTTGGCTAATGAAACTCTTGCAAATATTCTGCTCAGGACAAAGATGTCTGTATAGAAGCCATAGACTGTTGTAAAACTACACATTGGTGTGTATTATTTGGGGAAAATGTGTAAATGTAGAGATCATCTGGTTCCCCCTGCCTGTGCTTTCTGTTCTGCTTCTGATTCATGTGGGCTGGCTTTACTGCCAGGGAGGTAGAGGGAAGGGGAAAAATCAGTTTATAGCTGCCAGCGCTGCAGTGCCAATAGAGCTTCTGAGCAGGAGCGTCTGTTCTGGCATGACTTGTGGATCAGCTGAACTGCCAGCAAAGTTTGGATAGCGGCATCTTGGGATCTTGTTGAGGACAGGTCTATGAAACATGGAAGAGCAAAGCTTTTCTTTTTTCCTCTTTAAGCTATTTTGTACTTCAGTGCTGGAGGATCACCTATTTTTGCTCTTGGAAATGGGGTGAATTTGATGTCAGATTAATTGGTATTAACCAGTTTGGCCCCCATGTCCTTCTTCTGACTTTCTCCCATACTTTGCAAGAAAAATCAGTGTGATGGAAAGGTTTGAATCTTTCTCTCTGATACCAAAGCGGACCACACTGTGTTACAAAAGCCGACAAAGAAGGCTTAAATATCAATTTAAAAACTACAGAAAGAGGTCTTTGGACAGCCAGATAGTATTGGCTAGGAAATGGGCAGTAGTGTGTCGGATGGCACAAATGAAGATTCAGCTGTTTTTAATAGCAGTGCAGCATGTTCTATCTTTTCAGACTTGTTTGATTTAAATTAACGGTAGTTTAACTAGTGTTAAATTGCCCTTAAAAGCAGAAGAACATTTTGTATGTAATCAGATGGGGGAAGGGGAGGAAGGTTCCCACCTTTTTTTTTTTTTTTTTTTTTTCTATGGAGAAGATGCATTTTCTGTGCTTCAATTTAATTCCTGGCAGGAGGTCTGGTCTGATGAAGTAGCAGAGAAATGTCAGCTCCCGCTGCGTGTTTGAGACACTGGTGTCATTCACCGGAGATGCTGAGGCAGTGACAGGTAACGGGATGGCTGGTACCTGCGGTTTTGTTACGCAGCAGAGGTTGCGATGTCTTGCTCTGGTGGATGTTGGAAGCCTTGTG